ACTCAAGTGAAAAGGACAGACAGAAAGGTTATATAACTACGAATTAGTAGGTAGGTATTCGTACATGCAGGAAAGTAAAAGTAGGTAGGTTAATAGGCAGATATTATGTACGCACAAAAGTATTCCAAACAAATATTGTTTGCCCGAAGCAACCCGAATTGCAAAACGGCTCCTAATTGAAACATGGAACTGTTCCGCTATTCCTGTTTACGTATTCATTAAGTAGGTATTACCTCCACTGAGAAGAACACTAACAATTTGAATGCGATGTTTTTGTGCGAAACGGAACGGCAACACCGACGCCATTAACCCACACGGAATAACACTTAGAATCCATACATTGGTATATTGGCGCGCGTCAATAGATACCAGCAACTTTTGTAATCTATACTTCTATTATAAATGCGAAAGTAACTCTGTCTGTCTGTCTGTCTCGCTTTCACGCTTAAACCACTGAACCGATTTTGATGAAATTTGGTATAGAGGTAGTTTGAGTCCCGGGAAAGGACATATGATAGTTTTTATCCCGGTTTTCAGGAACCCGCGCGATATTTTTTTTCTGTGACAGACAAAATTCCACGCGGGTGAAGCCGCGGACGGAAAGCTAGTAAACCTATACTTCGTTTGTTTGAACGCGCTAATCTCAGGAAGTACTGGTTCAATTTGAAAAAATATTTTTGTGTTTTAAAGCCCCTCTTTTGAAACGAACAGGACCAGGTGTAGTGGTGTGGTGAGTAATTGACCCATTTAATTGAATCTGCTGAATTAGGAATCCGAATTTAGAGCTTTGTTTATCATGCAGGCTTAGCTTCCTTCCTAACTCTTACTAAAATATACTCTACATAATATAATAAATAACTAGTAAATAGAAAGAACGCCTGACAGGAGCCCCAAAATGGGCGAACAAAAACAATTCGGCATCACCTTCACAATTCTCGTGAGATCTTATTTATTTCTTGCATTCTTTCGCCTCATCCAGTCGGTATGATCTCGCACGGGATCTTCGCTTTTAAATTAAATAAATAATTCACACAATTTGAGCGCAATAAACTTTCGAGGTGTAGGTACTCTTTGCCGTGAATTTCGTGGAGTCCGCTGGGGGCTATAACCCGTGAAATGCTACCTGCGCGCCGGGAGACGCGTTTAGTTAGCTTTCTTAACTGCGTCACGGTTAACACTTGGGTATGTATTTTTTGCTCATTTAGGTACTACCTACCTAGTATAAATGAGCAAAAAAATACAGGGTCGCTAGTAGTAGGCCGCCCGCGACATCGTAGCGTGGTGGTTGAATTTTGCAAAATCCGGTCTTAGTCAGCACCTACATTCTAAGGAGCCCCCATGCAAAATTTGACACACATAACTACTCGTAACATTTGACATACTTTTGTTTTACTTGGTTGACCCAGCTGGGTACGCATAGATTGGATTGGATTCTTTTTATTATACAATTAAGCGCAGACCACCAACTTTGCCTTATGAACTCTAAAAAATTTTGCAACCCAATAAATAATTAGCCTACAACTTCATTGTAGTTTACTCGATTTCGTTCGACTAATTGTTGTAGTTGACTGTTTCTCCAACTTCGATGTATTTCTATAAATTGCAGTGATTCTTAGAAACCAGTNCCATAAAGTACGTCACACGAATTTCATGATTTTTTGACCCACCCTCCGTCCTTGTCACAGGTGGTCACATTTCTGAGACCCCCCCTCCCTAGTGTGACGTCACATGTTTTGCAATTCCACATCGAAAAATTATTAAATTAACAGCAGTTCCGAAATTAGTTTTATTTCCATTTAAATTAAGTACTTTTTTTTATGAAATCAACATTATATCAAATATTTGAAACAATTGAAATGTGATGACACGAAACTTAGGACCCCTCCCACCCCTTGTCACACCATGTCACACTTTGTCAACCCCCTCCCCCCCTCTTTACGTGTGACGTACTTTATGGATGACCCCCTACTACTACTAGTAGCGGCCGCCCGCGACTTTGTATGCGTGTATCCCGTTTTACCCCCTTAGGGGTGGAGGTTTGTAAAATCCGTTCTCAGTCAGCACCAACGTTCTAAAAGGAACCCCCATGCAAAATTTGAAACTCCTAACACTTGTGATTTCTGAGATTTCGTGATGAATGAGTCAGTCAATGAGTGACCTTTCGCTTCTATAAATTTTAATATAAATTTAACACAGTGGACGTGAAAAGCCGTTATTGAACACGCATTGTGGCGCAAGTACACTAGGCTGAGTTGCACCACCTTACTTTAATGGTAACTGTAAACGTTAACCGGTGCTTTTTGTATGGAGTTTGACAGATTTTTGACGTTTGTCAAAGTTAAAGTAAGATGGTGCAACCCCAGCCTGGACAATTGACCGACACTAAGCGCGAGCTGGCATCCCGTGTGGGCAGAGTAAATACAAATGAGTAGGTCATCTTCATAGAAACGCCCTTAGCCTGAGCGCGGTTTGTATGTGAGCGCGCCAATACGTATGCGGCGCGCACGCTCACACTGAAAAAAATTTAGCGTTGATACCTAGGGCACTATTTAAGTTGTGAGCCTCGACAACATAACGTGTTGTTAGACGACATCTGATACTTTTAATGAAAAGTTTGACATTTTTGACTACAACCTTATTCAAAACTTTTTATCATTTGAGCACGTTTTGTATTATTAACATTGAATTGAAAATTATCTTTACTACAAAAACATGGAATTGACTTGCGGACATTTTCGCGCGAAGATTTATTATGACTTTCGACGTGGTTAATCAATACAAAACTGAAGCGGTCAGCTAAATTTGTCTTTTGGTGATAAAGATCTGTCCTTTACCATTGTAAAACGCTAGTTTAAGAAGTATAATATTGTATGTCATTGGCTCACCAGTGAACTTTGCGAAAGTCGTCCAAAATGACTAATAGTGGCGGAAAACATTGATGTTGTCAGAAAAATGGAAGAGAAACCTCGTCATGTGATATATCGTAGGATTGAGATAATCCTAGGCATTAATTCCACTAGCAGTAATAAAATATTGTATGACCATATTATGGTTAATACGTTTTTTTCTCGCTGGATGTCACAAAATTTTTCAAACGCTCAATAGGACGCTTGAGTCGTTTAGTCCTTGAAAATGTTTGATAAATACGTTTAAAAAGCTTTAAAAGCCGTTTTTAAAATTGTGACAGTTGACGAATTAAGGATCTATGCATAATGATCCTGAAAATAAACAGCTATCGACTATGGAGGTGTTTTAAGATGAACCATTTCCAACAAAAGTCCCATGCGCTCGGAACACTTTAAAACTTACGGTTGCCTATTTTTCCGAAATATCCGATTATATGACAGAAACGTTACTAGAGAAATTTAGAATGGTTAATTCTTAATAGTAAACAGCCACTTTTTTTCCAAAAGTCTTCAGTTTAATAAGGGAAACTGACCAGCATAGTCGAATCGCCATTCGTGACGAAAATGTGAGCTTTTACACGTCTCGTCAAACAACTGACTATTTGAACACTCAAAATATGAAATAAACAGGTCCAACGCTACAAAATTCTTGATTGGAATCTAGGCACTTCTTTTGGTACCCATATATTGAAATTAAATGCGTGAACAGCTATTTATGTAGCCAGAAGCAACTGTCGGTGCGGTCAAAAACCATGTTTTGGAGGTGCCTCAAGCTGAGTGGAAAAAATGCTATGAAAAGTGTTTCGGACACATTAAAAAGTATATAAATCATGAAAGACAATACCAATAAACGCAATCAATACCATTTTAATAATAAAATACTTTGTTTTCATAGTTAGGCTCACAACTTAAATAGTGTCCCACGTAGCGGTGAGGTGCGCTGAATTTTGTGATGATGATGATGGCGTATACAAGTACACTATGTGGGAAATTGATCGAGATAGTGTAAACAAGCACTTCCGTTAGTTTCGCCGTGGGTCGCCCATACCAGAGTAAATACAAATGAGTAGGTCATCTTCATAGAAACGCACCGAGCGCGGTTTGTAAGTAGGTACCTATGTGAGCGCGCCAATACGTATGCGGCGCGCAAGCACACACTGACAAAATTTAGGGTTGATTAGCGGTGAGGTGCGCTGAATTTTGTCCATCATCATCATCAGAAAGTAATAAATTATGTTATGTAGGCTACAAAAAATCTTACCCCTTCACAGTAGGTACAAAAAATATTTTTAAAGCAAACGATTTCAGTTTCCATATTCGTCTGGGTCCTCCTGTTCGCTGTCCATGGAGTATATTAGGTGAAATTGCCTCATTACACACAATAATGAGTTAGTTAACCGCACGATTGCCGGATACAAACCCTTGTCGACATAACGAGAACGATTTGTTTCTGTAGGTTTAGGTAGGAGAACTTTTGTTTGAGCAAGCAAGTGCAAAAAGTAGATTGACACAAGGACAGATTTATTTAGTGACTAGCTTTTGCCCGCGATTTCCCCCTGTAAAATTCGTATTTCGCATAAACAATAATACTTTAAGTTTCATCAAAATCCATTCAGTAGTTTTTGCGTGAAAGAGTAACAAAGTAATCATACATTTCGCATCTAATTTTATAATATTAATTCATGTCTTTATTCACCGGTTTCTCATTTCTGAAAGAATTTCAGGCGATACTTTTTATAAATCTTATTTACTAGCGCTGCCATCTATTGGGTAATGTAAGAACGTGTTGCTTGAATTAAGTTTTTTGTTAACTCCCATGTAAAGCGCTGCCATCTATTGGGTAATGTAAGAACGTGTTGCTTGAATTAAGTTTTTTGTTAACTCCCATGTAAAGCGCGCCATCTAGTAGTGTTTTTAATTATGAGAATGGCAACACTGTTTTTTAAATATTGAAATATTTTATTACAGTTGGACCAGCAAATATTTTGGTTTTGTTAAAATTAGATGTTTTTTTTTACATTTTATAACTATCGATACCTACAAAATCTCAAAATGTCTTAATTATTCTTTGCATAAATATGCTTTTTTCTTTCTGGTAACTATTTTTTATAAAAGAAAATGTCTGCTGCTACTGCCACTGTTATTGTATTGTAAAAAAAGTAAATTTCAGTTTTTACGAGAATTTATAGCAATAAATACAGCTGTAACATACGTTTTAAGTGTTTTAGATTCTAAATCATGTATTCTAAATATATCGTAGTGATTATAGTGTCCACGTTCGCTGTATTTGCGTCTGTAAGTACTATCAATTTTAAATTGATGTTTTCACATTTATTTACAAATAAATCATAATCCTACCTTTTTAAATCATTATTAAAGTACAAAGCAATCTTGTTTTCTATTCTGAGATATCTGTTAGGAGATAGATACCAAGAAATACCCTTTAATGTAGCTTATGTTGTAAACTTGCGTCCGCTCCTGCGTCCTACCTATTGTGAAGCTATTGTCCTATTGTCCTGCCTTTCATTCATGCTTTCGTTTCGCACTTGCGTCTGGTATGTACCTACACTGTATACAAATCCTGCAATTTTCATTTATCGCCATTCAAGCAAGTGGGTCAACATTTAACCATTGGATGACTCTTTCTCTGATATGATTACCGTTTTGTTCATTTTAATTGGTTAAAAACCTCGCTTTGTTGGTTATCACGATCATTTCAGCTATTGGAAGCCCACTGCTGAACATGGCCTTCCCCAATGATTTCCAGATTGGATATGTTTGTATCATTCAATATCAACACTTTCAGCCTGGATAGTAACACCCAGACCCGTCACAGAAATTAAAATTAATCATTTCAATTTCTGCCCGGCCAGGAATCAAACCCGGGATCTCTCGGTATAGTAGTCCGTTTTGAACCACTACACCAAATTGCCTACTACTATTGACTCCATGCAATGTTCTAGACAATTTTGTGCTTCAAGATATCCTTTAATCTTACCATTTTCAACAGGGGCAGTCTTATGAAGATAAGAGATGCAAATGTGTGTGCCCAAGCCCCGCTGCGGTGTTCAACAAGACCGTCGCAGACAAGACAGCCGATCACCGCAGGCACTACATCGCAAATGTACAACCCAACAAATGGTTGGTAGATTACCTTATTAACTATAGTCTGAGTGAGCGCTCACACACTCACTGCAGGCGCGCGTCGCACAGTCGCGACAGCAATATAATTACGCGCGAGCGATAAGGATGGGGAGCTTGGGGTCATTGGACAAAATTCTACGTGCCCACGGACCAGGCTTTAGTGGTGACGTTGGGCTACTACATTTTTTATTTCTTCAATTCAGTATTGTTTCTTGGTCTTATAGTAATGTAAGGGTGTGGTTAGAGAACTTTTTTTATTCCTTTTTAATAAATTTGTTTTGACAACCTTTTCAGTAACTGCGCAGGAGTGATTATCCCTCGAGATGGGGCAGAGATCCTGGGTAGGGAACAAGAGTTCTGCCCAAGATGCGAGTGCAAGTATGAGAACAGAAACACCACTATTATCAAGGTATACCCCCTTGTTCATTTATTAGATGAGTAGTAATCAACAAGACATGTAAATTTGGCCTTCCATTGTTGCTCCTACTAACATGCTACTCTCTGTAATAAACTCAATAAAAAAATTAAAACCAAGTCTTAAGCCTTGCCACTGATAGATGGTTTTTATATCACAACTAGCTGACCCGGCGAACTTTGTTCCGCCTTAATGGCAATAAATAACGGGATAAAAAGTATCCTATGTCCTTCTCCTGGCTCTAAACTACCTCCCTGACAATTTTCAGCTAAATCGGTTCAGCCGTTCTTGAGTTATAAGTGGAGTAACTAACACGACTTTCTTTTATAATATAGATATTTTTGTTCTGCTCACAATCAGGTAGCTTCTTGTATTGCTAAGATTAATAAATTATGAAAATAATGTTTGTTCAATTACTGCATAAAGTGTATCATACAGATAATGATACTTACACGTACACCATAATGTTCCAGGTAGTTGTAATCATAGTGATCTGGGTGATTATGCTCCTGGTGGTGTACATGGGCTTCCTCATCTGCCTGGACCCACTCATCAACAAGCGGGCGAAGGCTTCTTACCAGGAACACACCAATGAAGACGTGAGTATACACAGAATTCTGATTTTATGTCTGTGATTGAGATACATGAACACCACCAAGTTGATAATAATATAACTGGCAGGCATGCTTCTACAGAACCATGTAAAAGATAAGATGATGAGTATTTCAATAGCCTTTATTGGCAAATTTTTCTTTTGCCATGTCTTCATTCATCATTTCAGCCATAGGACGTCCACTGCTAAACATAGGCCAACCCCAATGATTTCCACAATGGTCAGTTGGTGGCGGCCAGTATCCAGCAGCTTCCTGGTACCTTTACCTTTTCCCAAGGTCTCAGCGGCAAAATATATTTTGGGATTTAAAAACTAACAAGTCATACTTTTTCTAAAATTGACATTATACAATATTTTAAACCAATGTACTATCGCCAACAGTCTTAACTGCCCATTGAAACTCATGTCATCTCGTTCTATCGCAAAGAATCGCCATTTGATTAGAGCGAGAGCAAAAACGGAAATGGATAGTTAACAGTGTGGGCGTGTGTACATATAAAGTACAGCTAACGAGAAGCAATACCAAATGTAAACAAACCCAATGTCATGGGTGAACCCGTCCGACTTTCACATATTTTGGAGGGAGAACGAGAGATTACGACAAATACACAAGATGGGAAGAGACAGAATATATTGTCAACTCGACAGTCGTATCGACCTTTTGTTACTGCTAGTTGGCCGTATTTTATGTATTTAATTTTAACTAAAATGTGTCTCTTATTTGGTACCATATTACATGCATTAGGTTTTTTTTTTTCAAATCTAAGCATATTCCAACGAGTAACAAAATGTACACTACACGCTCATATCGATATCATTTTTAATCAAATTATGTATTATCCTGCTAACTAAACTTGTTTCTCCTTAGGACGAGAGCGCAATAAGCGGTCCCTCCACCCAAATGGGCGCTCGCGGGAACGTTCTGAACCGCGTCACGCATCAGCAGGACAAGTGGAAGCGCCAAGTTAGGGAGCAACGTCGCAACATCTACGACAGACACACCATGCTGAACTAAGCCTTATAATGGAACCGGTATGAATGGTTACTGCTTTAGTAGGCGCGCACACCGTTGATTTTTAGTTGGCCGATAGTTGTGCCCGATTTTAATTTGTATGAAGAATCGGCCAAATCGAATCGGCGTAGTGTGCGCACTCCCATACATGCCCATACTGATCAACTGCCCGACTAAACTATCGGCCGACGAAAAATCAACGGTGTGCGCCTACTCTTAAGGCTGAGATTAATACACATCGATTTTATAAAAAGAAATTATAATGTTAAAACGCATTTGTAGCATGTGTATTGTATTGTAACACACTTCATATAGTTTTGGTTCATCTAATTGGTAAAAAGGATGGAGCATTAAATCAGTAAATGCTGGCTCATTTTCATTTACTTTTTAAGCACTTAACACAAATGCAAACTAAAAAACCCTAAATATACGTAATAAATACAAAACAATTTTAAAGAAATATATTAATAACTACGCTAGAATTTTTTTTTATGTAATAAGATCATGCGCTATGCGAATTCGCCGTAATACTCGATTTGATGCCAAAATAAGGGTTAATATGAGTACAGCTCCAGCCAAAAAAGATCAGTCGATCCTGAAATGTTAACTAACCAATGTAACAATAAATTAATAGCATCAAACAACCGAGAATATTGTACGCGCCAGAGAAACGCACACACTACAAATGCTAATGTGATAGTACCCTTACAGCGGTTTCGTACTACGTCTAAATTGAACTAAATTCTCAACCAAATCCGTTAAAATACGAAACGTCGGTTTACACACTAGATCCGATTTCTCTGTATGTTTTCTAGAACCATATTTTGACGGATTGGGATTGGTCGTAATGCGAAACCGCTTAAAGAGATGCGTTAGTATCATTTGCTACGTGAAAAAAAAAGCTTTTGCGAATCTTTAGATGCTCTTAATTTTATCATTTTGGTCACATGTCGTCCACGAATTTGTAGAACCACGAGCAGGCTTAAGTTAAGCTTCAACCAAACCAACGCGTGGTAGCCGGCCTGCACGATGGTGATGGCGATAAGATGTCGTGTATGAATTTGTAGCGATGAGTTCACTTCGACGCGTCCTGTCATTGGTCACGCGTCCTGTGAGACATTAGCCTATTAAATTCAATTTATTTATTTAAATATAACAATAATCCACATGGTTAGTAAATGGATGTCTTATACGACTATGTTAGTAATTATTTATAATTAAAATTATATTCATCATCATCATTTCAGCCGGAGGACGTCCACTGCTGAACATAGGCCTCCCCAATGACTTCCACATCGCACGGTTGGTAGCGGCCTGAATCCAGCGCCTTCCTGCTACCTTTATCAGGTCGTCGGTCCACCTTGTAAAATTATATTAATACCTACTTATCCAACCTGTTTGGTAAGAAGTAGCCGAACGAAATGTCGGATAATGGAAGAGTCGTACCTCCCGCCACGGTCTTCAAAATACTGTTGGGGTTCGCCCGTATCCTACTGAGCAACGAGGCAGTCTTCTTGCGTAAGACAACAAAGAAGCCGTCAGTATGCATACACGCACAGTGATCGCCAACGCCGAAGGGATCTGCACGCGTTGGTTTGGCTGAAACTTTACATGTGCATGCGAAATTATATTAATGTATGAAGTGAAAATTACAATTGGCAGAATCCACCTAAAATCGATGTGTATTAATTCCTGGCGAAAGTTATTAAAGTGAACCTGCAATAAAATGTAACGGATGACCAAATAACTATGAAAGGACGACGGCACGTCAAGATTAAAGGCGCTTTCAATTTAGACGCTTCGTGCGGTACGCCTGCAGCCTTGCAAGACCGCACACTAACTATTAATAAGTAATTGTCAGTTTTAATCCGACGTAGTTGTACAATTTGCCGTGTGCGGTCCTGCAGACGCAAGACAAACGCCCGACGCGAAACGTCTTAAGGTTACCCACTACACCGTATCATACCATGACCGTGCTAGGAACGTGTCAGGCAAATAAATGTTATTTGTATTGAAAAGTATGACACTGTCCCCAGTAGACCGTTCCGTCACCGACCAACACCGTCGCGTGCCATGCACGGAGCGTCAACAAATGTCGGCGAGAATATTTTCGATCCGTTCAGTGGGCATAGTAGAGCGTATCGTGTTGCTTTTCGTGCCTGACACGTTCCTAGCACGGTCATGGTATGATACGGTGTAGTGGGTAGAGACCTTTAATGAGGGTTTTCGCGATTGAAAAATCCGCCAGATGGCAATACGTAGACGCGAGGTCCAAATGTTGCATGATTGGTTATTTTTGACATGACATGACATTGACAGATGTCAAAATCCACCAATCGCGCAGCAGTCAGACCCTACATCCGCGTCCCGCCATTTGGCGGATTTTTCAATCGCGAAAACCCTCATTGAAAGCGGCCTAATACCGACATCTTACGCAGTTGCAATATGTGTGATTTTGCAACTAAAATGTAGTCTGATGTGCTGGCGTTCGTTTCAAACTTTGTCGATGAAACAATCGAAATTAAAATGTCATTACCACCTATTTTGAACCTTGTTTAGATTGCAATAAAGTTAAAAGTATTGTAAGAATGATAATGTTATTAATTTGTACACTGGGTGGAAACGATATGTGTACTCACTCGATTATTTCTAGGAACAGTAATCAGTTTTTTGATATCTTATATAGTTTAGAAATAATCGAGTGAGAGTTTCCACCTTGTATATATGTATAGAATAACTTGTAACTCGCAAGTAATTAATGAATGAAGAAAAAACGTAATTTATAATATAACACCAATAAAATCATATTATGGGCTGTTTAAATAATATAAAAGTGTGGCCAGTTTAATAATATAATACTGCATAATTTTAGCACTAGCATAGTATTTATACATTTTATATACTATATGATTATAGTCTAAAACCCTGATTTTCCAAAATAAATAAGTAAAGAGCTTTTTTAAAGCTTGCAATACTAATTATGACGGCCTAGACGCAGACCACTGACTTTATGTTGGCCAATAGTTGGTTATTCAGGGCTGTTATTCAGTATGAAGATATATGAAAGTGTGCAACATTGGATCGGCCGGTTCTTCATACAAATTAGAATCGGGCCCAACTATCGGCCGACTAAAAGGCTGTAGTCTGCGCCTAGATTAAGACACCAATATAACCAAACTTGTATTATTTCTTTTATAAGATTTTTACGAACAATGCTACTTAAAAATCTTACTTAAATTATGCCCGTTTTCCACCAAAGCGGAAAGAAGAAGGGATGTATTTGAATAACCAATCGTGTCCTCTTCCCACGAGTTTGTCGTAAGAGGCAACTTAGGGACTACACATCAAACAGAACGGGCAGCAGCGCTCTCTGAAAAACATCAATCTTTTAAACTGCGATCTCCAACTCGCCTGCCAAGCGTGGTGATTATGGCAAAACCCTCCACTATAGTGGAGGAGGCTCATATTCCAGCAGTGGACTGTAAAGGGCTGTTGATGTTGGTGATGATGATGCAATCGTGTGTGTTTACATCAAACGTCGATATCGAGTGCGTAAAAAAATACATGAAATGTATGACGGACAGCGTCCCTAGGGGATACATCCAAGAACAAAAATCATAGATTTTTTTGACGCACTTGATATCGAATACGTTTGATGTAACTCACACTAAGCTGCTGAGCTGTGCTGCTCAGGTGATGTGGAAATAACGAATAACGAAATCTGATTGATTGGTTATTCCGACACATATTATCCTCTACTCTCCGGCTTGGTACAAACCAGGCTTTATTATACATACAATAATTGAAACAATAATCTCAATAAATATCACCTTATGAATATTTTCGATACACATAAACCCAAAGTAGATGAATTAATAACCATTTTAAAGCATATTCCTAGATTATAATTCAATATATTTGTAAGTAATGGAATATTAACGAGAATTATAATATTTATATTGACAGTAATGTATATTATGTAATTGTTAATACCTCTATATAAAACTTATGCTAGAAAAAAATAGTTCAGTCACTTTATGCATTTAGGGCCTCCGCTAAAATTCGCACATGTTCTATTTGCATTGTATTATTCGTATTTGAGCTATTCTATAAAACGAATGTAAAATAAGTCTACGTCTATTAGTTCCGACGTTACTGTTGAACCCCTTCCCAGCGGTTCCATAGCGCGGTTAGACATGTTCTCGTATTATAGATGACCCAAGCTGAACTATCCCACCAAACTCAATGACAGGGGGGCGCTACCATCGTTCAACTATATGGTTTCCAACATGGCAAAAATCGGAACCAGCGATCCGGTATTAACGGTGGCGCCCCACTGTCAATGTCATGCATAGGACAGTTCAGTATTTTGGAACTATAGGTTGTTGTATTCTTTCAGGCAGTGCATTGTCACATGTAAAGCTCACTCGCCTTTGTGTAATTAAAAAAAATAGTATGAGAAGCGCATGCGTGCATTTCAAGCGCGAGTTTTAACGGAGGCCGTGGCGTGCCGATTACACTTTAGCTAAGCCTAAATAACATAACTATAGTATTTCAAAAGCTTATGACAACTGCTAATTACCTACAGCGAAGCGCCCCGCCGGCGGGTATTATATCAGTCGAGTGTCACGCACGCGCCCGTCAGGACGCTGGCGTGCGTTGTAGTACCTAATTCTATAATCGAAGTATTATTTAAAAATGGACATAAAGAGAAAGAAATATTGAGTTTTAACGGAGGCCGTGGCGTGCCGATTACACTTTAGCTAAGCCTAAATAACATAACTATAGTATTTCAAAAGCTTATGACAACTGCTAAAATATGAGCCTGTCAGCCCTGAAATATTATGCAATAATAGTATATTTAATAATTCGATATTTATAAAAAAATTTAGTAATATCATAAAATATAATTATTGTTTTACATTTTTATATAGCTTATAATTTGTCGTGACAAAGTGAAATGTGTTTTTGTGAATTTATTAATAAACTTCCGTATGTACAACGTTTTAAATGGTTACGCATTTTTTCCTAAGCAATACAACTGGCCACACATATTTTTATCTACATAGTTCGATTTAAATTTTGTACATCTAGATAGATATAGGAATATAAAATCGAAATAGATTGGCTTCTAACTACATTCGTACTTTTATATAACATAATAATAATTAATATACATAATCTCTACTGAAAACTAGAATCGCGCCCTGTTTTACGTAGCAAGGAAATAATAGATGATAGATTAGTAGAAAATTCTTTATAATTCTTGCAATAGAACCCATGAGATTAATTAATGTTGATAATCTTCTTTAGATTGCATAAAACAGTCTCCCAGTTTGTCTGTAAGCTTATATCTTTCAAACTACAATTGATTTTAATGCGGTTTTTATTCAAATCAGTG